CCCCGCCGCCGCCGCCTCACCCCCACTCACACCCGCACGCACACCATCTGCACGCGGCTGCCGCACCCCCGCCGGCCCCGCCGCACCACGGGGCCGCCGCACCGCCCCCCGGCCAGCTCAGCCCCGCCAGCCCGGCTACTGCCGCGCCCCCGGCGCCCGCGCCCACCAACGCACCCGGCCTGCAGTTCGCCTGCGCCCGGCAGCCCGAGCTCGCCATGATGCATTGCTCTTACTGGGACCACGACAGCAAGACCGGCGCGCTGCACTCGCGCCTCGATCTCTGAAAGGCCAGGGCCCGCCGGCTGCGAGGATGCAGGAACGCGCGACGCCGGCCTTGGACGCAGCCACCACCGCCAGCCAGACCGCGCGCCCGCTGGGGCCGCCCCCTGAGCCAGCGCCCACGGCCCCTCTGCGCCTCCGCGCTCCCCTCGCTCCTCTTTGTCTCCGCTTCTCCTCCTGTGCTCGCCTCCCTGCCCTGTATATGCCCTTTCGCTCCTCCGGCCTACAGGCCGCCTCTCCACGCGTTTTCTACAGGCCTAGTCTTCTCCGGGCGCCCCAGCGTCCAGGCTGGAAACCGGTTGCCAAAATTCACGGCGGAGAGGAAGTGCCCGGGGCCGAGGTGCAGCCGGGCGTCGGCGGCGCAGACCTCCTGGCCTTCTCTCACAGGTCGGTGCGCTCGCGCTCGGCTCTCTCCGTCCGGCTGCCGCGCCATCCTTGGCTAGAAGCGCCGGCCTGGGCGGGCAACGAGACCCGTGCCGACCGAGAAAGGGACGAAAGTGTATTTGCTCCGCGTACCCTCTTGGAGCTGTTCAGAAGCCCCTTTCTGGGGCCCACTGGGCCGGGCGGGGGTTGGGCCGGAGCAGGGAGCCGGGGCCGCCTCGCTCGGCCGCCTGCGCCCGGGTTTACACCGCATCCGGGCTCGGAGAGAGGCTGCGTTTCCCCCGCTCTCCATCCCGGCGCTTCGGGCCCCTTCAGGCCCGGGCGGCTGGCTAATGTTTTGCTAAAAAGATGGGGAGGGCTATTTTAGATGATATCAAAAAAATATTTTTTAAAAGAAAAATCTCACCGGAAAACCGGCGAAGTATTGTGGCCTTGGAGTTTTTGCTAAAGCAAAACACGAAAATCTTCTCTACAGGAGATTTGAAGTAGAATTCCTGTCGGCCCTTCAAACAGCTGTGTTCACAGAGGTAGAAGAATATGCCCAGTAACAGACGGTTTCCTCTGCAAACTAGAGGATTTCCCCCCTCAACCTGTCTTTTAAAAAAATATCAAAAAATTTCCCCTATCTTCCGATGCAAACCCCAGAGCGCCGGGAGATCACTGCCTGCCTGGCGGAAGCTGCAGGGACAACTCATCCCCTCCCTGATTTTTGTTTTTCAAACGTCTTGCTTCTCCCACCTTGGGCAGGAGAAATGTGAAACCCCGCAGCAGTCGGACCAGGCGGGCTTGTGGCTCCGAGCCTGCTGGCCCAAAACTCTAGACCTGGTTGTTCTGTAGTGTGTCGTTTGGAGGACCAAATTTTTCTAGAAAGAACTAGAGCACTTTTGTTGTTTTGTTGTTTGTTTGTTGTTGTTTTGTCTTGATTCCCGAATAAATTTTTTGTTCTTTCTTTTCACACGGACTTATATTATTTACGTCGCGTCTAAGTTTGTTCAGCAGCTAGTTAAAAGAGGGAGATTTTCAGCAAGAAGTTATCCTTTTTCAGATAAACAAGGGTTGAGGGCAGCCGGAGTGGGGGACCTTTGTGGTTGTCGCTGCTGCTTTGTTTTCCCGGGGATTGTTTGTTTTCTGTGTCATCGCTGGTCTGTTGAGGCTGTTTCACGTCATCGCAGAGACATTATTTGCCGTGGTTCTTTCACAAGGCGTGACTGTACGTAGGATTTGTTCTATTTTTGCATCCATGCAAGTTTGAACTTTACCTCCTCCATAGCCGTGCTAGGTGTATGGGCTGTGTTTTTATTATATTGTCTTCATGCTTTTCAATTTTTCCAGTTAAATCTAACAGCCAGAAGAGTTTATTCCAAATAGATAAAATCCTGGTTGCGGAAATGCTCTGTAAGCTGAAAACCTCTGTACAAATGTAACGAGTGACTGCTTGCCTTATTTTTAATGGTCAGAATTAATTTACCTTGAGATATGTGTAAGAGATTTGGCAATATCAGAGATAGGTGAACATACGGCCTGGCTGTAGAAATGTAATCTTTTCTCTCTCGTTTTCTTTACTGAGACTATTCGAATAACGAATTCAGACTGGTGCTTCCGCGCAGGCACACGGGAGTTCGACCGGATTACAGGCCGGGGCTGAGAGGAGGATTAGAGGCGGTCAGCTTTCAGTCGTTCGGTGGGATGACAAGTAGCAACCAACTCTAGCTGCCACTGCAGCGGCGCAGCTTGAGCTGGACCCCGCTCCCAGCCACGTGTTGCTCACTGCCCCCCACCCAGCCTGTACAGCAGTGGCCACAGGTCCAGGCCGACCAGTAAGCCGGGAGGAGCTGCCCGCGGCAAGGAATGAGCCTGCAGGCCTCCCACTTCACCCTGTACTGGTGGTTACGCCTTGGCAATGTCAGAGTGGGAGTCCTGTTATGTGTAGTTGGCCCCAAGGGGAAGTGGCTCAGGCTCAGAAATCCCACTTCTTCCTCGGGCATCCCAGGGAGGCTGGAAGGTGGAGGATGAAGCCATGCGGGTTCTGAGGAGCATCACCCTGAGACCGGGACTGGAGCCTGCCAGGGCCAGGGGAACCAGAGCAGGCTGCAGATGAGGTTCAGCCCCGGCAGGCGAGAAACCCAAGAGGCTGGTCAGGCTTGGTGTCTGGGTGCTTCTGGCAACCTGTTGCACCTTTGTCTGGCTGACTAAGGTGAGGTGGGGAAAAGAAAGTAGATGGCTGCGTGCTTGCCCGTGCTTTCTGTGATGTGAACATGTATCTCATTGGTAGTTGTATAGTCTATGCCTGCTGCAAATGTGTGTGTACAGTGTAAGTCATGTCCTGGTGACAGGGAGAGAGGTGTGTATATCTGTCATTCACCCTCAGAGAGGGCATATATTTTAGGCATTGTAATAATCATATGGCTAATATTCAGGGAATGGTTACTGGGGCCACAGCGTGTGTTGCATTCATAAGTCATTGGTAACATATTCAGTTATGTTCTGGGTATATAATTTTAGTTTGTTGAATGAAAACAGAGAATACATACAGAGCCTTTGCTTCAGCTGGTCGAGGCTCTCTGTTCCAAGGCTGGCTCTCAGCACCCCACAACCTGCTATTCCAAGCAGAGACAGAAGAGAAAGGAAGTCTTCTGGGCAGAACCTCCAGTGAGGTGGGGAAGTTGGCCTAGGCCAGCGCTGAAGGACAGAGCCTTTCTCTGTCCCCCAAGAACTGAAAGGCGAGGCACCCACGACTGGGGAAAGAGCGGTAGCCTCACCCAGTTTGGAGGATGAGATGGAGGAATCGGGGAGGGATTCCTGGTCTACACAGGGATTAGAGGAGTTGAGAGAAGGGAGCCAAGTCATACTCCACTTCCCCATGGATGCCCGCAGAAAGACATCTGTCTCTAATTCCAGCCCCAGGAGGTTCTCCAAATCTCTACAGTTTGGTCATTTCCCCCCAGTGTTACAAGCTGGGGCAATGGTTGATTTTCTTCATCTTTCACTTCCTTTCTTTCCTCTCCCTCTTTGCGCGTTTGAGTTTCTGTTAGAGAAGATGATTTAAGGAATTCCCTAAGCAAGGACAAAAGCATTTAAGAGAGTTCCTGATATGTAGCAATTATGCCTTAGCATATACAGTCTGGTCTAGATGGCCAGGCCATGTGGGTATATGTATATATGTTTGCCAGAGTGTATTGTAAATACAACGTAAATAGCTTGATATAAATACGTTGCCAATTTCTGCATGTTCTGGGTAATGAGTTGCTACACATGGCATTGAATGAGGAGTATGTGCGCACTTGTATGCATGTAAACATCCTCACACTCAGCACTGACAGGAGGAGCCCCTCTCCTCACATTTACACACAAATTCTTGGTCATCCCCACCCCCTAGAACTGCCCAGCCAGAGTACTTGGGTTCTGGTGGGGGAGAGTGTCCAGTTCTCAGGGGGACCTGGGAGAAATCTCTGCCAGTGCAGTACATGCACCAAGGGACTGTGAAATGGGGACCTAGGAGGTTCTCTGGGATGGCTCTGCACCCTACTCCAGAGGGTGTTCTGGGCCTGTTTCCCCCTTGCCTAAGTAAAGCGTTCACTGCTCTGCCTCCTGGCTTTGGGCAGGCAGGAAGCCCAAGACCTTTTGCCTGAGGTTAGGTGTCCTTCAGCCCTTGCCTGGGCCTCTCGCTAGCCAAGGCTGGAGCTCCAGGCTGGGAAGAGCCCCCTGGTGGTGGGTGGAAACCAGGGGTGGACCAGGGCTTCTTGCAGCCAGATGGGCAGGAGAGGATGGGCCAGGAAACTGGGTCAGACCCAAGACAATCGGCCCATGAATAAGCTCTTCCCTTAATGGAGGTCTGGTGCACCAGAACCACTGAGCCAGGCTCCTGGTCTCCAGGAGTGGGTCAGGCTCCAGGAAGAGCGGCTTGGTCAGGCTGAGGAGTCCTGCGATGCTCCCACTCTGTGGAGATAAGCCAGCGATGACTATACCTTGTCAGTCCCGCTGCCTCTGGAGGGCAGCCCCTGCTTCTGGGAGTAGCCTGTGGAACCTGTATGAAGGGATGGGCCCAGGAGCCCACAGCTCTCCTCTGTGGTGGGGACTGGAGGCCTGGAGTGGTTGGGAGCGACCTTCATGCCCCAGAACCACAACCAGAAGTGAAAGATTCTTCACTTCACTTCTGAAGGATTCTTGAAACCAAGTGGTCTGATTGGCTTTCTGCTTTCTGGAGAGAGAGCTCCATTCTGTTACAAGAGTGTCTGGGCCCCAGAAACCCCAAATCTTGTTTACATTTAAGGAACCTGGGGTCCTGAGAAGAGAAGGAGCCAGCCAGAGGTCACCCAGCTGTCTGTCGGGCAAACAGCCTCAGAAATTTTAAGGAGAGACCTGAGAGTACCGAGCCCAGCTGCCCAACTGGGCCCTGCCAACCGATGTTTGATGTTGGGGAGTTCAGTGGGTGAAGGGGGAGCCATCCAGAGGAGAAGGAAGCACAGGGCTGGGTCTGAGCTGTGGGCTGATTTTACTCAGGAAACTTCTGCTATGCCAGCTGTTTGCTGCTCCCTCCTCGGTGGTAAGCTCTCACAAACTTGTTCTGGGACCATGTCACCCCAGGGAGATGGTTTGTGCAGGAGGGGGCAAGGACAGGGACTGT